AAGGAGGAGGTGTAGTAGAAGGTGGGAGGACAATGGCGAGACGACGAATGACGTGGTTGCGGAGGAGGAGGAGGAGGAGGAGGAGGAGGAATTGGACGACGACGACGACGAACAGCTCGACGTCGCCGCAGGCGCAGGCGGATCAGGAGCAGGAGGACGCGCGAACACTCGGAGGAGCAGTCTTGGATATGCTCCTCAGGGCTATTGAACTCTGGCTATATTTTGTTCTACGGATTGCTCGTGGTAGGCCTGTGGGAATGCTGGAACGGTCGGTCCCTGCACGAATCATCGGTCGACCATTTGCAGTCCTGTGGAATGATATCCTTCCTTGGGTCCGACGCGGACTTTACGCAGATTCGACGCAGATTCGTCATGGATTCGATTCGACGCGGGTTCGACATGGGTTCGACATGGATTCGACGTCCGACGCGGGTTTGACGTAGAACCGACGAGGGTAATTTCGCGACGGGACAGACAATACCCCCCGAAGGTGCAAGAGAAGTTTTATTCTCACTTCCGTTCCTCTGCCTTGTTCTGAGGGGGGCTTCACCCAGCAGGGCTCATTTCGACGCCTCCGATGATATTCAATTCGATTTTGACCGATTCCGATCCCGATTCCGATTCGAGTCGATTCGGTTTTGAATTCCGTTTCGAATTTCGGTTGTTCTGCCTTACTAGCCTGCCGATTCCCGCCGATTCGACTTATCCCGACCTGGCTAGCTGCCGATTTCCACCAATCCGATCCATGTCGATCGATTCGATTCGACCACCCCAGCTGGGGGTACACCCCTCGAAACCCGAAGAGAACAGCCTACATCCCCGCCCAGGGGGATAAATCGGCCAGTGCGGCCCAGGCCACGCCGGTGGGGATACGGTACCATGACCTCCAAGAGTGCTAAAACATACCCCTCCAGACCTACAGACCTATCTGGACTGCCTAAACCCTCGACAGGCGTTTAGATGTCGAGGTCGTGGTGCTATTCTCCAGCCCTCCTGGAAGGTCAGGGTAATCAGGTGCATGCGGCGTTGGCGCGCCAGCGACGCCGGCGAAGGCGTTCAAGGTTGAATTTTACGACGCAGAAGCACCGAGGGACACGCTGACGCCACCGGACCCGACGGAATCCAGCCGTGAACGCTCGGGGCCGCCATCGATTCCAGGTCGGCCGGTCGACGCGGTGACAAAAACCTGTACTCGCCGACGCCGCGCGCATCTGCCGCAGGGGTCGGTTCCACAATGTTCAGCGGCACCTCGTCCCTGGGCCGATCCCTGCGCCCCCAGGCCGCCCATGGCTCCCAGAGATTCCTTGGTTTCGGTGGCAAATCATGGTAGCCTGGTCTGCCCCTCGGAGTTCCATCCCTGGCGCCGATGAGCGTCGATTGCGTCTGGAGTCGATGGGACAGCGCCGATTTAGCGTCGATTCAGCGTCGATTCAGCGTCCATTAGCGTCGATTTAGCGTCGATTAGCGTCGATTTCGCAGGAGCCGACAAGATGGTATGGGAGGCTCCCATGAGTTGCCACAGAACTTGGCGATGGATCGTTCTGCTCACCTCCCTCCAGGTCGTCGGCGGCGTCGGCCCGTGGGCTTCGTCGGCGTTGTTGGCGGTCGTCGGGCTGTGGGCTGACGTCGATCGCCGTAGTTCGGCGGCGAGCCCAGGGGGGAAGCGAGTGGGGCCGGGCCTTCTCAGAAGGCTCGGAAGTCCCCGGGCCTTCGAGAGGTTTTCTAAGCTGCCCCCGAAGGCACAGGACATTTTCTCAGACGGCTCGAGTGCTTCTGAGAAGCCCTGCCGCCTTCTGAGAATGCCTACTCCTTCTCATTCCTCCCCCTCGCTCGCCGCCGAGTCGCGGCTAGTGCAGCAGTGGCTGTGGCGGTGGTGGCAGTACCCTTAGATCCTGGCGTGGCGTTTTTTTCGCCGGGTTTCGGGCCCCAGGGTCCTCTCAGATCGATCTTGCTCGAAACATGGCGTACAAAGATTTGGTCTAGGGCCCCCGTCGTGATTTTTGGCGACGGTATGTTTTGCCACGTCGGATCTCATCGGGTCACCCCAACATCCTAATACTATGTGTGCGTCGCCCTTCGGGAGCGACGCGAGCGCCGAGACATCCTGTAGTATCTGCTTCATTGCGGGCGCTTTCTGGCAGGACCGCTCGGGAAGCGACATGCTACAATTTTCGGACGCACGCCCTAAAGGCGGACGCATAGTGCTAGTATAGGTCTTTGTGTGTGTCTCTTCTCAGGGTAGTTCGCGGACGTCTTGTCAGGAGTATCCAAGTGAGGAGGAGGGCCAGGCATCCAGAGGCACAGGGCGAGCGGGAGGAGCACGGTTGCGGAGCAAGCAGGAGATGCGCAGAAAGACCATATGCGAGAGGATGTCGAGAGAGGGCGAGAGAGGAGGAACGGACAACAATGATAAAACCGCAGAATTGGTGACGGAGATGGGGATGGGGATGGTGAATGTGAGGATGACGTTGATGATGTTAATGAAGCATGCGTAGGTCCTCGTCATCGGTGGGACGAGTTACATCTATAGGCACCTGGAGTCGAAAGTAGGGGTTGAACGAGAAGGAGGTGGATGCCAAGATGGCGGGTAGGAGAAGCATCTGAAGGATGGAGGATGAGGAGGAGGAGGAGGAGATCGGAGGAGGATGAGGACGGAGGAAGAGAGTCTTATTCTGGAGAGTTGTTTGGTATCTGTGGAGGTTCCTGAGGGTTCCAGGGCTCCTCGGGGGAGGGGAAGGAGCAGCAGAGTGAAGGACAAAGACGAGTTTGATGATGATGATGCTGATGCTGATGCTGATGATGATGATGATGATGATGATGATGATGATGATGATGATTATGATGATGATGATGATGATGATGATGATGATGATGATGATGATGATGATGATGATGATGATGATGATGATGATGATGATGATGATGATGCAGAGAGTTAAGAGGCTGGTATTCAGAGTAAACCCAGAATGCCTAAACGATGCTGCAAGCTAAAAGGAAAGCGAAGAGGTGGGAAACACGTAGGACGTGTCCAACACTGGCCCTCCCCTCTTTGAAACGAATCCGCCCTTCATCCGCGTTGCGCAAGTTTGCAGGTGTGGTCAAGAAGAGAAGATTAATGTTTCAGCGTTCGCTCCACTTTGAAGCAGGAGTCGGCCTCCACCCCGCTCAAATCTCGCACTACCTCAAACTCCTAGTCATAGTCTTTGAAGGAGTCTGAAACGAGATCCTGCTTCAAAAGGCTTACGCTACTCCGACGTCACCCAGAAGATGCGTGCGGCTTCCGAGTTCTCCCCGTCGGGGCCGGTGGACTCTTACAACTGACTCTCGCTCTATCTGGGTACCCGGCGGGTGTTTTAGGACGATTGTGCACGGCACGAAAGGCGAGAGCCCATTTCGGTACACCTCTCACGAGGATCGTGGCTCCATCGGGAGCTCCACTCACTCTCACGAGGATCGTGGCCCCACAGGGAGCTCCACCGAAGGCTTCAGTGTTAGTGGTCGCATGGCAGCACCGCGCCCATTCGGTACACCCCTCCAGAGGATCGTGGCCCAATATGGAGCTCCACCGAAGGCCCCAGTGGCAGGGTTCGCGTGCGTGACGGTGCCAATTTTGGCGAAGCCCTCACGACGGTCCTGGCCGCCGCCCCGTAGGAGCTCCACCGAAGGCCCCAGTGGCAGGGTTCGCATGAGTTTCCGCCTCTCACTTCGGCACACCCCTCGGGAGGCTCTTGGCCCCGTTGGGAGCTCCACCGAAGGCCCCAGTGGCAGCGCCCCGAATGGCACTGCCGCATCCATCCGGGGGCCGTGTCGGAGGAGGAGGAGGAGGAAGAGGAAGAGGGGGAGGAGGAGGAGGTGGAGGGCGGGAGAGGGAACCTGAAAAGGCTCCTTGCCCCGCCTGGCATTGCCAGAAAAGACCCTGACCAGTTTCCTTGTCCGGCGGCCGGAGAGGCAACATGGAGCTGTTGTCTGTCCTCTCTGTAATGATTTTCCTTTCGGGTATAGTCTTCTTGCCGCGGAGCCTCCATGACATCCCGAGTCGGCCCCATATGAAGACCTGTCGAAAGATGGACCCACAACGCGGCACCCACAATTGCACATGGTTGGGTCTTTTGCCACAACTGCACATGGTTGGGTCTTTCGCCTTGATATTTTCTCATGGCGTGGACCCCCAGCGGTCTGGACCGATTCCCAGGACCGCTTCTTCGTCCTGGGTATATTTTCTATTGACGGCCCCGAGGCCCTGTGAAGGGCCCAGAAGGCCGAAGATAACGAACAACCTCCCGTCCTGCTTCTCATTGCCCGAGGGGGTCTGGGGAGGCCGGAGGCAGCAGCAGCAGCAGCAGCAGCAGCAGCAAGCAGCAGGCGCTCCCCGGCGGCCCGCGGGGCGCTGCGCGGCGGCGGCGACCGCCCTCGCGCACGCCGCGGCGCTCGCGGCCGCCTCGCCGCCCCTGCGGAGGACGCCCCCGCGGCGAGCCCGCCGCGGGTCCCTCGCGAGCGGCCGCCGCGCCGCCGCCGCGGAGTGGCTCCGGGAGGCCCGCGGAGGCATCCAGCGGCCTCTGGAGGCCTCCCGCGCCCGCGGGGCCCTCGTCGGCGCCCGGCGCGCCGCCGCCGCGGCCGCGGGCGGCGGCGCGCCGCTGGAGTTCGCCGTGCCCGGCGCCGGGGTGGTGCTGCAGCTGGCGGGCGGCCCGGCCTCGGCGGGGCCGGGGCGGGAGAGGGCGGTGGTCTTCGTCCACGGCAGTTGGCGCGCCCCGGGGGGGGGGGCTTGGCTCTAGCTGTATGAAGGACGACCATATGGAGAGGAAGCATGTTGCCAACGAATTTCCAAATGTCTAAAACATGTGTTAAGCATGTTTTGAACCTGTAGAACACATGTTCAAAACATGTTTTGAACATTTTTCCGACATCTTAAACACACTGTAAATTCAATGATAGGACTGTTAGGGTGTCCATTGTCGTGGCATCCGCAACTCTAGCTCCCGCGGGCGCCGAGCGGTGCCACCATGCAGCAGGCGCCCCTGCCCAGCCGCCGGGCCGTTCTCTTGGCTCCTCCGAGGCACGCGGCCTGGTGCTGGGACGTGCACTTCCTGGACTACTTCCGCGCGCGCGGCTTCGACGCCTACGCGCTGTCCCTCAGGGGCCACGGCGGCAGCGGGCAGGGCGGCGTCGAGGACGGCACAGTGGAGATGCACGCCGGCGACGTGGCGGCCTTCGTGGAGCACGTCCACCGCGAGTCGGGCCGGCCCGTCGTCCTGGTGGGGCACAGCTTCGGCGGCCTGTTCGTCCAGAGCGCGGCCTCGCGCCTGGTCGCTGCCGGCTCGGCCGCGCTCGCGGGCGCGGTGCTCCTCAGCAGCGTGCCTCCCTCGGGCAACGCGGAGCTCGGCAAGCGCTACTTCCAGCGGGACTTCGTGCTCGGGGCGCGGCTCACCTGGGCGATGGTGACCAGGGCGTTCGAGCGGGACCTCAGAGGAGGAACATGTACCGCTACCCGTCCCTCGTTTTCTTTTTGGGCCTCCTCTGAGGCCCTCGTCGCCACCCCTGGATTCGCCTCGAAGTGCTGGTCAGGACGCGCCCTAGGGGAGGTCCAGGGAGTAGAGGTATCGTTACCCTGGTATCCCCAGGACCTGGAGCTCTCCAGGCTGATGTTCTTCGGGCAGGGGATGCCCCTGGAGCAGGTCGGGCGGTACACGGACCGCATGGGCGAGGGCTGCCCGCCGGGCGCCAGGCTGCTCGACCTTCGCAGGCTGTCCGGGTCCCTGCCCGTGGAGGCGGTCCCGCCCGGCAAGCTGCCGGTGATGGTGGCTGGCGGCGACGCGGATGTGATCGTAGACCGCGAAGCACTGGAGGAGACAGCAAGGGCTCATGGCGTCGAGGCGGTGATTTTGGAAGGCGTCGCCCATGACGCCATGCTGGACCTCAAGTGGGAAGACACGGCGAACGCCATCGCAGACTGGATCGAGCGCAAGACGTGATGTCGTGGCTTGATTCGAGGTCGGTAGTACAATGCCTCTCTCTCTGGGAAGGCAGCAGTGCTGCATCCTTACTCCAGACTCGGCGTCCCGCTTTTGCCTTTCAAATGTTGGATCGTTGGGGAGGAAGTCCTCTGGGGAATGAGTGGCATGCTTCTAATCATGACCTGCAGTCAATCTCCAACATATCTAAACCGCATTCTTTCTGCGAGTGCTATGGTGTGTGCGAGGAGTGTGGGGTGCGACAGCTCCCACTCACATCTATGGTTCCCCATCACCTTCCGTGCGGAATGGATTGCTAAATTGTTGACCTCCCCCCCCTGACATACGTCCCCCTCCCTGAATAACCTTTCACACAATCCTTTGGAAACCATTACGGTCCCTGCTTCTGGCGCAACGATCATGCGCCCAGCAACCAGAAGCTTCATCCGGGCACCCCGAGGAGGAGGAGGAGGACGAGGAGGAGGACGAGGAGGAGGATGAGGAGGAGGGCGGAGGAGGAGGAGGACGACTACTTCTACTACTAGTGTTACTACGATCCGAACTACGATTGCGACTACTACTGCGATTACTACTACTAGTACTACGACTACTACCACTATTACCACTACCACGGCTAGAACTACTACTGCTACTACTACTACTAATACTACTACTACTGCTACGATTACTACGACTACTAATACTATTCTGATTCCTATTATTACTACTACTACTACTACTACGTTACAGCTCCCAGTACTACTACTACTACTTCCACCACTACTACTACCACTACCACTACCACTACCACTTCTACTACTACTACTACTACTACTACTACTACTACTATTATTACGACGACTACTACTACTACTACTACTATTTTTACTATCACGGTTACTCCTACTCCTACTACGACTACGACTACGACTACTACGACCGCGGCTACGAATGCGATTCTCATTCTACGAAGACGACCACTATTACTACCACTACTACCCCTTACTACTACTCCTACTACTGCTACTACTACCACTACTACTACTACCACTACTAACTACTACTACTACTACTACTACTACTACTACTACTACTACAACTACTACTACTACTACTACTACTACTTCGTTACTACTACTACCACTACTACTACTACTACTACTACTACTACTACTACTACTACTGCTACTATCTTCGCTATTGCCACCCCCTACTACATTGCGACCACCACTACGACTCGTATCACTACTCTTACGACTACTACTACGATTACTACTACTACTGGTCGTACTACGGTTATTCTTACTAAACCTACTGCGTTTTATAGCGCTCGCACTTTCATCAGTATGTCAGCTTTTCTTTCTACCACAGCGACTACTAGTATTGCTGGCACTACTGCTGATACCACTACTAGCCTCAACAACCATTATTTCCCAGACAACGACTATCGTTGCTTCGACGCACTATCATTACCACTACGACGACTACTATTACTACGACCATTACCCGTAAGAGTACTACTACCACTACGACGACCATTATCCTCTTGATTCCCATCTACGATTACTACGACGGCTGACGTTACTACGTCTAGTCTTCTTAATTCTGCCACTGCTACTATTCAACTGTTACCACTGCAAGTGCGACTACTTTTCCCACCATCGCTACTGGTACGACGACAGTTCGACGACTTCTATTATTTCTTCTGCTTCTACTACTACTACTACTACTACTACTACTACTAAGACAGCTCTTACTACTGCTGCTAGTATCCCCATTATTGGCACGACTACTGGTACTACACGACTGCTATTACAACTACGATCAGCGTTAATAGTACAACTACTACTCCGCCGACCTACTACTAGTACTACTACTACTACTACTGCTACTACTACTACTACTACCACTATTACTACTACTACTACTGCTACTGCTACTGCTACTGCTACTGCTACTGCTACTGCTACTACTACTTTCCCCTCACTACTACTACTACCATTACTACTACTATTATTGTTACTACGATAACTACTACTACTTATACTACTTACAGTTCGACGACGACTAGTACTATCACTACCCTTTACATTAGTACTGGTACTACTACTACTTCTACTACTATTGTTAGTGCTACTACTAATACTGATACTACCATTCATGATGCGACACGAGTAAAGCGTTTATCACCACTACAATCGTAGCACTACTACTTCTATTATTACTACTACAACTACTACTATTACTTACTAATACCATTACTACTTCTACGACGACGACTACTACCACTACTACTACTACCACTGCCATTAAAGTAATACTATCCTTTGCTTCTACAGCTAAGCCGCAAAGGGGAACTCATTACTTTTGCGTTTCCCAGTGCTAAGAGAGCGTAGTGCAGAGCTGTGGTGATACCCTTGGGTGGACCACCCCGTAGGACGGCCGACGAACATAATTGTTTCGCTGGGGTTTGTAACAGGAATCGTCTAGGACAGGGGCGGACGGGGGGAAGAGAAGCCGAGGTGGAAGGAGGGGCGGCGAGGAGGCAATGTTTACGGTCGAAGAGATGGAGCAAGGATGAGTATTTGCGGTCGAAGGGGCGGGAGTAGTTATTCATTTGTTGCTTGTTGTTGCGGCAATAAAAATATCGATCCGCTACATGAGCCCCCGCGAAGTATTAATTTTATTTTCGGTGCTAACGATAGGACAGGGGTGTTTCGCAATGGCTTCCCTCGGTTACGTTCCTCGATGCCCCATCATTCATTACATGTGAGCGGCGCGAAAAACCGGGGCCGGCTTCACCGACAATGGCGCTAAAGCTGCCCGCGACCGGTCGCGCGCAAACGCCCTCGCTTCTGAGGCAGCGTGCCGCGCTGGCGGCCCACGTAAGACCCGTTCGCTTCTTTGCATCGCTACTGTGTAAAATTATCAGAGCGAGGGGACCGAACGGTCATTCACTGTCCCTGGGCGAGTGGCTGTAGTCAGGTTCCGCGGTGCGGATTGTTGTTGCGTTGTTGTTTTCGTTGTCGTTGTTGTTGGTTCCTTGTTGCTGTTGTCGTCATCGTTTTCGCCCGCGGACTGCCTGCGACCCCGTTGACTCTTAACCGCAACTGTGGGGTGTTCCGAATGTGCAAATCATGTGTGCATTTATAGACTTAATTATATCCAGCTGCCTGTGGCACGTCCCGCCACCGTGCCACCCTTGCATTCAGGGGTGCGATCGTTCGAGGGGACACGGGAAGCCGTCATGGGTGACATTTTTGTCTTCCACGCTTAGGAGAGCCAGGTTGAGGATTGTGAGGAATATGCGGACGATGGGAGTAATGACGATGATGACGCTAGTGATGCTCACGATGCTTATATGGATTATGGTGATGATGATATAAATGGTGATTCATATGACGATGGAGGTGCGGAGGACGGTGTTGGTAGTGTGATGATGTTGATGCTGATATGGATGCTGAAAATGGTGATGATGATGATGAAGGTGGAAGCGGAGGCCGTGGTGGTCACGCATCTCGCCGCGACCGCGTCGGCTCAAGTCTTTCGCTGGAGGGCGAGGCCTCCACCCGGATGCGCTTCACGGGTTCTGGGATCGGCGTCCCGCTCGTAAGCAACGCGATTATGCTGCTTCTGGTTCGCTGGCGGCTGCCGCCCGCTGAGCCCACGGCCCCAGGCGCGCCCGCGGCGGCCGCGCCGGAGTCCGCGCCCTTCCCGCCGTTCGAGGCGTGCCCGCTTTCGGTGCCGGGTGAGGCCGCCGAGCTCCTGGTGCCGTTGGCTGGCTGCCGGGCCGCCGCCCTGGACGCGAAGGGGGCAACGTGCGCCGGCCCTTCGCCTTGCCCGCGGTGCCCCACGAGCGAGGCGGGGGCCTCGGCCCCCCTACCCCGGGGAAGCGGCGCGGTGCGGCCTGCGTTCCGCTGCTGGGCTTCGCTTCGCGCACAAGCTCGTCGTGGTTGCGCTCTCGTTTCGCAGGCTGGAGCAATACGCTGATCGCAGTCCCGACTATGACGTGCACGCAGCGGAGTACGATGCAGGAGGCGCTGGCGTCCGCAACTGGTGGACGGAGTGGGGCCCCGCCGCCACGCCGCTGGGCGCCGTCACTCCAGCTGGATGGCGGCACTCCGACTTCGCCGCGATGCCGACGGTCGCCCAGCTGGCGCAGGCCTGCGCCCGCGGAGCCGCGAAGATGGCCGAGCAAAAACGTGACGGTGATGCGGGTCCTGCTGCTGCCGCTCCTGCTTCTGGTGCTGCTGGTGGCCATGGTGCCCTTCCTGCCTTCGCCGCGACTGCAGGCGGAGCCCCTCTGGGAGGCTGCATCGCCGCGGGAGCGCCTGCTTGTTGGAAGGCTGGTCTCGGGTCGACGGTGCCCGTGGACGGCCCCATCGTTTCGCTGCATCACGAATTTTCGAAGATCATGGAGGTGGCCCTGTTGTACGATTAGGTCGACGGGTCGAATGTGGCAGCGATTGAGCTCGTTGCCCGACAGCCCCCGCTTTGCGAGAACAGGTACAGGGACAAGCTGATGTGCTCTCGTTCCCCCGGCAGCGGAGGCTACGAGCAGTTCTTCTTCACGGGAATGCAGTTCACCCGTGGGTTCATGGCATGGCCTGCCCTGTCGGAGTGGATCTCCACGCAGCTTGCCGCCGATTCGGACATCGCGAAGGAGCGCCGCAAGGCGCGTGGAGAGCGGCAGCTGCTCCGCCCGCCCGCAGGTGGCCGAGGCGGTGGACAGGGCAGCGGCGCGGGCAAGGCTTGCAAGTTTTAGCGTGCGCTCTTCATCGTGCTTGCTGCGGCCGCCAGGACTGGCCATCCTGGAGGGTTGTTTCCCCTCTGGCTTCCCGCCCTTGACATCGTGGTCCCCGCGCCATGGCTGTCAGTCGTCAGCGAAACGTTTTCCCTCTTCCACTTCTTCCTCGTGACGCCCCCACGATGCTGGCGGTCGCGCTGGTGCTCTGGCTCGGGTTGACTGGGCCAACAACGGCATCGGGGCGCTCAACTGGCTTGGTGGGGGCGAGACGCTG